CCAGATTCATAAAGCAAGTCCTTAGAGACCTACAGAGAGACTTAGACTCCCACACAATAATAATGGGAGATTTTAACACCCCACTGTCAACATTAGACAGATCCATGAGACACAAAGTTAACAAGGATATCCAAGAACTCAACTCAGCTCTGCACCAAGCAGACCTAACAGACATCTACAGAACTCTCCACCCCAAATCAACAGAATATACATTTTTCTCAGCACCACATTGCACTTATTCCAAAATTGACCACATTGTTGGAAGTAAAGCATCCTCAGCAAATGTAAAAGAACAGAAATTATAACAAACTGTCTCTCAGACCACAGTGCAATCAAACTAGAACTCAGGATTAAGAAACTCATGCAAAACCGCTCAACTACAAGGAAACTGAACAACTTGCTCCTGAATAACTACTGGGTACATAATGAAATGAAGGCAGAAATAAAGATGTTCTTTGAAACCAATGAGAACAAAGATACAACATACCAGAATCTCTGGGACACATTTAGTGTGTAGAGGGAAATTTATAGCACTAAACACCCACAAGAGAAAGCAGGAAATATCTAAAATTGACACCCTAACATCACAATTAAAAGAACTAGAGAAGCAAGAGCAAACACATTTAAAAGCTAGCAGAAGGCAAGAAATAACTAAGATCAGAGAAGAAATGAAGGAGATAGAGACCCAAATATCCCTTCAAAAAATCAATGAATCCAGGAGCTGGTTTTTTGAAAAGATCAACAAAATTGATAGACCACTAGCAAGACTAAAAAAGAAGAAAAGAGAGAAGCATCAAACAGACACAATAAAAAATGATAAAGGGGATATCACCACTGATCCCACAGAAATACAAACTACCATCAGATAATACTATAAACACATCTACACAAATAAACTGGAAAATCTACAAGAAATGGATAAATTCCTGGACACTTACACTTTCCCAAGACTAAACCGGGAAGAAGTTGAATCCCTGAATAGACCAATTACAGGCTCTGAAATTGAGGCAATAATTATTAGCCTACCAACCAAAAAAAATCCAAGACCAGAAGGATTCACAGCCAAATTCTACCAGAGGTACAAGGAGGAACTGGTACCATTCCTTCTGAAACTATTCCAATTAATAGAAAAAGAGGGAATCCTCCCTAACTAATTTTATGAGGCCAGAATCATCCTGATACCAAAGCCTGGCAGAAACATGTTTGAATTTGTAGAAAAAGTCTTAGAGAGGTATAATGAAAATGAATAAAATTACTAAATAAAATATGAGATCCCAAGATTTTTGCCACCATCTTTGAGAATAACTAATGCTGATAAACTAGAGACAAATACTTTGGTGCCAGTTCCAACTCCTTGCACTGTACAAAGGGAGAAAAGTATCTTAATGCATAAGAAATTATGAGACAGCACAAATAAAAACCAATCTTTTATGCATAAAGTTTCAATTAAAGTGAAATTCATACTTTAAATTGCCAAATTGTAACTGGAAAAGTTTGTAATGTTTTCAAAATGGTCTTCACTGAAATACCTCTATCTAGCCTGGAGGCTACAGATGGAACTTAACTATCCACTTAAATTTATATCTATGTATTTGTGCGAAGTTCAAACTTTAATAAATTTTCTGAATCAATTAAAACAGAGTCATTATTATTCGGAAAACTAAATCTTGGCCATGATGAATATCTTAATTATTTTGACATATGATATATGCAATGTAATTTTTATGTGGGGTTACATTTGGAATTTTCCTACATTTCATATTTAGTAAATGGATTTATTATAAGAACATGATTTTTTTAAAGAATGAATTTCATAAGTAACTGAAAGGTTTGAAATTTTCATTTACAGATCATTATTGCCATCTGCTGGTTACATGGTTTAATTGCATTTTTTAAAATTCCCAATTGTTTTACTAAAGGACAAAGGAAAAACTGAGGCAAGTTTTAGATATCCATAACTGGATTAGAGATCTCTGTGTAAGACAAATAATTTGCAGCCAGGTGCAATGGCTCATGCCTGTAATCCCAATATTTTGGGAGGCAGAGGTGGCAGGAGTGCTTGAGGCTAGGAATTTTAGACCAGTGATACCCATCTCTGCAAAAATAAACAAATTAGCTGTGTGTGGTGGCCTGCACCTGTAGTCCAAGCTACTCAGGAGGCTGAGGCAGGAGGATCGCTTGAGCCTAGGAGTTCAAGGTTGCAGTGAACACCATTACACTTTAGCCAGTGTGACAGAGTGAGACCCTATCTTGAGGGGGAAAAAAAAAAGCTAAATCATGAGGCATCTCTGTTTCAAAGATAAGATAATGCAAGAATATATTGCATCATATCTAATTATAATGTGCTATTTTAATTGTTAATTCATCATAGATTAAATTATCAGCCTAACTCCTTTAAGTTATTGTCACTAGTTATTATGCAGCTAAAATGTGACTCAAATAACCACTCAAAATAACAAAGTCCAAATAAGGGACCACTGTTAGGGAAGCTGTAAAAACATGAAAACATCCATGATTCTATTTAACCGCACATAAAACTAAGTGTCAGGATTTCCCTCTTATACACAAATCTACTCCTCTCCTTAGTAGGAGTAGATACATAATTATTTAGGCAACTATCTCTCAGTTAACTAATGAACCTAAAACATGTATTACTGTTCAATAATTACTAACATATCACTTGGTGACAAAGAAACCAAGTGAGCAAAATATTAATTGGAAGTGCTGGCAAAAATAGCAATTACTTTTGCACCAACCTAAAAATACTCACTAGTGCCCTATAGGATGGCCAGTCTAGAACATAATAAAGGAACATTTGTTTAAGCACGTGCTGTGTTTTTGATGCTTCATAAGCATTCATTCATTCAATCATACCATTAGTAAGACAAAGATAGCTGTCTTCATTTTTCAGATGAGGAAATTAATCGTAGAGTGGTGGCTAAATTACTAGCTCAAGGTCATATATTGGTAATATTCCTATATGAGTCCCCTATACAGTATTCTTCCTATATGAGATTTAGAGCAGCATATGGCACACAGTTAATTTTATGTGTTCACTAAACATATGAATCATAAAATATATCCTGCTTTTTTCCTTTAACACTACTGTGTCATGACTATTTTCCTATTTCATTAAATATCCATGCAAAATGACTTTAGTGGCTGTAATGCTTCACTATATGAATGTTTCATAACTTAGTGTTTGACACTGAGGCCATTTCTATTTTTCAACGATATAAATAATAGCACAATGAACATTCTTATAAAAATATTAATTTTTTAAATGATAAAAATGACCAGATTTGTACTTTCAAGGGCTAGACCACGGGTAAGAGCATTTTATATCCCACCAGGACACCAAGAGATGCAAAAGACAATTGGAAACCCCAGAAAAAACAAACTGACCAAAAAGAAAAACAATCACTCCACTTCACTTATTGTTCCAAAAAACATTAAAACAGTCATATTTTAAAATAAGGTGCTTTATTTTGAGTTTGCCTAGCCATTCAAGAATATATTCTTATCAACCACCATAAATATTTTGTATGTTAAATGCAGTATTGGACAGATAGAATTTATTAGCTGTTAAAACTTGGGCAAATAACTACATCCTGATGCTTGATTTTAAAATGTGCATATAGTTATTGCATGAATTAAGTGAGAAAACATTTTGAGCACCAAACACAATGCCAGGAATGTAGAAATGCTCCTTGAAAAAAATCTCCCAAAACAAAAAATGAACAATAATAGCACTTACTGAATTTAAATGAGTGACAAGATAAATAGTACTGTCAGTTAAGTGCTCTAGACCTTCAGAAAAAGCATAATTAATATGGGCTGGAGAAATGGGCTGGGACTTGGAAGGTGATAGCATTCAGATGGGCGGGGAGAAGAGGATGTAAAAGCCAAGGGGTGACTTTTCCATGTGAGTAAAGGAATTCAGCAGTTATGGAGTCTCAAGCTGTGGACCTCACCTGAAATGACTGGGATGGAAGATTTGTGCCCAAGAAAGTGGGAAATTAAAGTTGAAAATGTATATGGGGCAATTATTGAAGGCATTGGTGAGCAAGCCTAGGACTTGGTTTGTGGGCTATGGGGAGCCATGAACATATCTGTGCTGTGTTGCATCAGGAAAAAATTAACCTGACCACGATGAGCCATGATTTAGACGGGTCAGTTAGGATATGGGAGTTCAATTTGATCCATCATCAAACAGATGGGAAGTGAAGCGGTGTGGGCTCCAGCATGGGGCCGTGACAGAGGACACGGAAAATGTCAGCGGTCCCAGTGCGTCTGTGCCAGCCGCTTTGGCCTCCTGTAGGGCTGCGCGGTGACTGGGAGCTAAGCGCTCCCCTCTTAGTTGGTCCTGGCTGGTGCTGAAAGTGCTTGAGCACACCGCTCCTAGGGCTGACTTCTCGGAACCTTACTGGAAAACCATTTTGCTTTAAGATTCAGTAAACGCTGTCCCGTGCCAAGGAACTGGCGTCAACCTGAGGCTCTGGGGTCAGACCCACCGGACTCAGGCCGGCTCTGCCACGTGTTGTCCGCAGTCTCGGCCCGCTCCCTCCGCGTTGGCAACAGGCACTGACTGTCGGATACCCCCGCGATCGTAGGAGAGCAGAGACGTTCCTAACGTCGGGTGCACCACGGGCGGGTCCGCTGGCTTCCCTGACACACTTCCTACAGTCATTTCTTGCAGCTGAGATCTTCCCCTTTAATACCTCGTTAATTAACGTGTAACCTTTTGGTTAAAATGTCAAAGCTAAGACTAAACCCGAAGGAATGAAGCCACGGGAAGTTCTTCAGACTTAGTCGCCGGCAAGGTTATGGCCCGAAGCGGCGCGCGGGGAAGCTACTGGCAGAGCTGTGCGCACACGGGGTGCTGCGGGCGCTGGGGAGTGTGGAGAGGCTGCGTGGAGCTGCACGCTCGGGGTGGGGGGCGGGGGCTGCCTTCCCAGTGAAGCGCGTGAAAGGCGAGCGGTGGGGTTCTGCGCCAGGGGGGCTGGCAGCGTGTGGGGAGCTGTACATCGAGCTGCGCGCAAGGTGGCGACTGCACGTGTGGGCTTGGGGACTGGGCGCACTGGGGGCTGCAGGCGCTGGGGAGGGTGTGGTGGGCTGTGCGTGGTGCTGCCCTCACCCGAGGCTGCACGCTCGGGAAAGCGCAGAGGCGGGGGTGCTGCGAGCGGTGGGGAGCACGTGGGCGGACACGCAGGGACTGCCCGCGCGAATGGCTTCGACAGCACGCGCCCCACCCCACATTTCACAGTCGCCATGACGACCGGGAGGTCGGCAACGGCTGCGGGGACAAGTCCGTTGAGGCTGCCAGGCTAGTCAGGCCTTTCTGAACCTCGCCCGACTCGCCTGGGCTGTGCCTGAAATTGACCCAGCTCCACCAGGGATTATGAGAAAACAAGGAGTAAGCTCAAAGCGGCTACAATCTTCCCGCCCCAGCCAGCCTAAGCGGCGGCGCGGGGCCTCCCCCGCCCGGGAGCCGGAGGTGGAGGAGGAGGTGGGAAGGTCGGCGCTATGCAGCGGGAACCTGCCAAGGGGCACCAGGAGGTCCTCCCCGCGGAGGATCCGAAATCTGAAAGCGCGAAAAGGCTTGGAGCTGGAGGTGATGGCCAACACATTTCTTCTCGGCCCCTTCCAGTTCGTCCATAATTTCCTGGCGCAGCTCCGGGAAAAGGTGCACGAACTGCAGGCGCGGCGGTTCTCCACCAGGACCACTCTCGGCATCGGTGAGGAGAAGGCAGGAGAGCCCTAGAGGGAGCCGCGTGGCGCTTTTCTTGAGTCTTGAAGGAGAGCAATTTAACAAGCAAGGGTTTGTGGGTGCCTAGTAGTAAATAATAGCAAGGTCCGAGTAGAAAGGAGTTGGCCAAAGATCTTGTTGCTGAACAAGGGGGGAGAGAGAGATGGGGAGTATATTAGTTTGACGGGCTGTCAGATCGCAGAGTGTTTTAAGGTCTAGGAGTTTTAAAGACTGAGTTCGGGAAGGATCAAGGGAAGAAGATGAGATTAAGATTCCAAGAGAGGAAATAATTAGTGGAGCAAACGTTGGAATATTTGGGAGGGTAGAATTAAAGGCACAACTCTGAGAAGCTAACTGTGGAAAAGAGGAGAGAGAATTCCTTTTCTGAGATGGCAGGAACTAGAAAAGCGAGGATTACTATACGGAGAAATGTTAAAGTGGAGATAAAAGAAGTTGGGAGTGCTGGCGACTAATGGTCTGTTTCAGTGAAGTATGAGGCTGGGTCACCTTCCGAGGTGAGATTGATAGGATGTCCGGGTCCAGGGGACATGCTTCTGTCACAGCTTGGAAAAGGCATGTGATAAGCCCTTCAAGCATTTAGAATGCTGGCATCACTATACCGTATCCTTTTTTTTTCAGATGTGTTATGTGGGTTAAGGGAGGGATTGAGAGACAAAGATTTTGAGCATCCTTGGAAAGCTGGATGAATTTGGTAGTATATTTGACCTTTTCCTTATATATTATCTGAAGAGTTTTTGTCAGTGTATATAATTGTTAGGAGAATTAGAAATAGGATACAAATATAGTTGAATAAGATAGTCTCTGTATATTTTAAAATTAATGAAGCCTAATAAACAGTTAATGAGCATCTTTACAACTTTTTACAATTTTCAACCTTTTAAAAATTATAGCAACTGCACTTGCAGACAGTCCAGAAATACACCATGGGCCATACTTTGCCTATCTTGATATAAAACAAGTAAATCTGAGAAGTATTTAAGTTAAGCCCGGGACAGTTAGTGATGTAGGAAAAGATCTGGATAAGCATGGTTGAGAATTTCAACATTGCAATTGTTTAATTTTTTAAAATTTAATTTTTTCAATAATTATTGAATTAATTTGCATTTATTTTGTTAGCCAAGTGGAGTAATTTTTGAATTTTTAAGAGGCTATTATTGGTGGTTATAAGATGACCTGCCAAGTATGTTTGGGATAACCATAAAAAATACCATTATAAAATCTCAGAGGGGAGGTAGGACTTCTGGAATAGCCAAGGAAATGCACTCCTCCGTGACGACAATGAAAATACTTGGAAAATTATCAAAATCATTTTCTTCAAAACTTTGGAAATTAACCAAAGGTTTACAACAATCTGAAGGGCATTAATTCAAGAAAAGCTGCTGAACCTCTATAAGAACAGCAAAGTTTGTGGTGTTTTAACTTGTTCTATTCCCCACTCTTCTCTCTCCAGCTCCATGGTACCTTTGAAAACAAGCAATTCCCCAACCAAACAGGGGCACAGGCTGCGTTTGCAGCTCCTGTAAAAGCTCCATACCCAGAGCAGTGTCTCCCAGCTCCCTGGTGAAGTCTTACGTATATATGGGACGCTGGCACAGGTGACTCCAGATTAGTCTCCTAGGCCATCTAGTAGCTCCTGGGTCTGGGCTCTTGCAAAGAGCTTGTGATTCATCAAGGGTTGAGTTGCACAATGAGGCTTTTAGATGTGCTGCTGAGGAAGTGATTGCCTGCATTTAATTGTCTCTGATGAATGCTAGGGAAACTGATCTAGAGTGGCTCCTCCTGGTTAGAACTAGTGAAGCATACTGCATATATTTACTTCTTTTAAAAATTTCCTATAAAGGAATAGAAAATAATACTGAAAAAAAAAAACACCTAAAAAGTCACAATCTTCCATAATTCCATCACTCTTACCAATTACCTGAAGTAAAAAAACCCTCTCAAGTCTCTCCCTTTGCTTGTCAAGCCCTGCTGCAGACAGGTAAGCTCTGTTCAGAATTTACTTTGTGTCCTGGATTTTTCCTATGCTCATAGAGACAGGATTAGCTGGCCATCTTGCTTTGTGTGCTATATTTCTAGGCATGTAAAATAATACATTTGAAATACTTGTTTAAATGGTATTTTATAATAAAACAGCTTTTAATAACTTTCCTTTTTTTTCTTTTTTCCAGCCGTCTTTGTGGCAATTTTACATTGGTAAGATTTAGTTTCAGTTTGAAATATTTAGAAACATTTGAATTAAAAATTGCCATCACTCTTTGCATACAGTAAAACAATAACTTCTGGCTATAGTTGTAAAACATCTTTATGTGCATCAATTTATGCATATATTTTGCTTTTTTACAAACTTATATGAAACAGCATTTACAAAATAGATGCATTAGGGGAATAGTAACTTATGAATTAAAATATTTTTGCTTTACCAAATAATTCACTACATGTTTCTTTAAATATCTAGCTTTTCTAGTGTATTTTGCATGTGTAGTTCATTTAAAACCCTCCTTTATTTTATGGTAATTATATGTTGCTAGTGAAATAACTTCTTTTTCTTTTTCTTTTTTTTTTTTTTTTTTTTTTTTTTGAGACAGAGTCTTGCTCTGTCTCCCAGGCTGGAGTGTGGTGGCACGATCTTGACTCACTGCAACCTCTGCCTCCCAGGCTCAAGTGATTCTCGTGCCTCAGCCTTCCGAGTAGCTGGGATTACAGGTGTGCGCCACCACACCCAGCCAATTTGTTGTATTTTTAGTGGAGACGAGGTTTCACCGTGTTGGCCAGTCTGGTGTCAAACTCCTGGCCTCAAATGATCCACCTGCCTCGGCCTCCCAAAGTGTTGGGATTACAGGTATGAGCCAGCACAGCCAGCCAGTGAAATAACTGGTGGTAAAGTTTAGTAACACCTGCCAATTGGAAATCAGGTAAAAAAGAAGATAAAGATTCTGCAGTGGTTATACAGAGTTAAATGACTTTGAGTCTTTTAGTGTGCAAGCCTATGTATATTATTTTACAAAAGTGTTTTAAAAACTTCGTAAAATAATATTTCCCTCTGGAATATTTTATTTTTACCTGTGCTCAGCGATTTCTACCCTTGGGAGGTATGAGATCTGCCTCTATGTTCTGTTGACACAGTGCTGCTCTAGACATTTAGTCTGCAGGGAGATTTTGATGTTAGAACTGAGGCTGCAATGGTAGGGAATATTCCTGCAGTTTTTGGTACCCTGGCATATGTCCTACATGTAAAGAAGGGTTGGTGGAAAACAGGGTTAATATATGGAACTTTGCTTTATTTTCAACTTCACTGGCAAGTACTGACTACATGAGTTAGCTGTAGCATGATTGTTGACTGCAGCTAATTTTGTTTATCACATATGCTCCTTCACTGCCTACAGCTGTTGATTCGCTACTAAAATGTCTTCAAGCACACACCTGCATTCTTTGGCACTTGAAAGTTGATCCCTTATGTGATATTATACTTATTGTAAGTCTGCTTTGATTTAAAGTAATTTTATTTAAAATTATATTTTGAACCTTTTTCAACAGTTATGGAGGTATTTCCCAAGGCTGGTAGATTAGAATCACTTGAAGCTTAAAAAACAAACAATAACCTGCGTCTGTTCTTATTTAGAGGCCTGGGATGGAAGGAAGGGTGAAAAAAGCCACATGAATTTTAGATGTACAATTAAGGTGGGTTTTTTTGGAGACAGAATCTCACTCTGTCGCCCAGGCTGGAGTGCAGTGGCATGATCTCTGCTCACTGCATCCTCTGCCCCCTGGGTTCAAGCAGTTCTCCTGCCTCAGCCTCCCTAGCAGCCAGGATTACAGACATACACTATCATGGCTGGCTAATTTTTGTATTTTTAGTAGAGACGGGGGTTTCACCATATTGGGCAGGCTGGTCTTGAACTCCTCACCTCAAGTGATCTGCCTGCCTCGGGCTCTGAAAGTGCTGGGATAACAGGCATGAGCCAATGCACCAGGCCACAATTAAGCTTAAAAACCACTGAGTTAAGGAATTTCAGGTGTGTGCCATACTGGATTATAAATGCCTAAAACCATACAGGTTAGTAAGCAAATTATAAAATTACTATTATAACAATTTATTGTTTTCTTTTTATGGCTTTCTTACTTATCGCTTATTTTACTGTTGGTTTTAAAACTTGTTCTTATTGTAATATGATACTTCATTTTTTTCTAGGTTACATTTAGTAACACTTTTTGAAAATGATCGTCATTTCTCTCACCTCTCATCTTTGGAACGGGAGATGACTTTTCGCACTGAAATGGTTAGGTTTCTTCTTCTAACGGATTAATTTGTGGTTTAAGAATATCGAGACTATGAGGTAGAAATGTATTAGGCATTGAAACCAGCTTTTGGTGAACTGCACTGTTTCATAAGCTATAACCCGGGTTAATTATTTAAATAGTAAAGTGTTTGAGATTATTTTTCTGTTACTTATTTCATTATCTCTCACTCTTTCCTAATGCAGACTTCTTTTTAAGATAATAAAGATGAATTATAATAGGTGAGGAAGGAGGACAAAGGAAGCACTGAGGAAGTGATAAAGGGGAATGAAATGAGATGTTATCAGAAATTGCTTTGTCTTTGGCTACAGTTGGGAGATCCCATGTATCACCTGGGTCTTTTAATGGTGATGATGATTATTTGCCTCTCTTTTGGTTTCAAGATAATCTCTTTTAAGAGATAACTTTTGATATAATTTTTAAATAATTTTCTGTTTTTCGATAGTTAATCTTTAAAATGGGGTTTTCTGCCCTACACATCTCACGTAATTATTGGGAGGAGTAAGTGGGATAGCGAATGCCAAAATTACACAATTTTATGTTTAGAAGACACCACAACCGTCCACCTTCCAGATCTGCTCACAGCTGATCGGGGGCCTAGTAAAGCATTGAAACTGGCTCTCCTCACTCTGGCCATTGCTTTTTGTTTAAATTATGATAAAATTTAGATTTAAATTTGTAATAAAAAATTTCAATGTTTATCATTTAAGCGTACAATTCAGTGACATTAAGTACATTTGTGATGTCTTGCAACTATTACCACTGTCCACATCCAGAACTTTTTGCTATCCCAAACAGAAACTCTACTCACTAAACACTAATCACACCCAACTCTATTTTCTGTCTCTATGAATTTGCCTATGCTAGGCCCCTCAGTCACTGCTTTTTAATTTTCATCCCTATATTGCCCCTATAAAGTTTCAAAGCATTGGATACATAACATATGTATGACATTTGAACATTTTAAAGGTATTTCCAAAGACAGAATATAAAATATTATTAAATAAAGAGTGTAACTGTGGCAGAGTCTGGACTTTGGTGACAGATCACTGGATTCTAAGAGCAGTTCTGTGCTTTCCTGTATGATGGCTAGTCAGGTAACCTCTCAGATTCTCAGTCATTTCATCTGCTCAATAAAAACAATGCCAACCTTAGAGGGGTTTAGGGAAAATGAAGGGGGATAATGAATGGCAACACATAGCAGAATACTTAACACAAAATAATAGCTGTTATTAGTAACTTATTTATATTTTTAATATTTCCCTAAATATAGACTTTTGCATATTAGGTATCCTTTAATTGTTGTATTGTTTTGTTATCTTCCTAAGCAGAAAGGAAAATTCTTTATGAACTCATATTTTGCCAATCAGCTATGAGGTAATGGCCTTTCAGACATCAGCTAAAACAGACCTTTACTTTAGCAGTTACTCGTGTTGGATGAGGCAGATATGATTACAGCATATAGCATTTTTTAGGGAGTGTGCATTTTAAACAATGTGGCCCTTTTTAGCTTTTTAGATTTTAGGAGTGAAAGCAAGAAACTGATGGGGAAATAAGACACAACATGCTGTTGTTAATCTATGAATTTTAACTCAACAGCACTTTTACTACCCTAATGAAGCCTTTATTTTATATGCTGAAGTGTAAGACACTAAAATAATCTGCTTTTTAGTATATAGCATTTGTGAGCAACAATAGTCAATCGACACTGAGCTTTCACCTTGCACAGAGGATTTGATGGAGCTATGAAGTAAGCCAGAAGCATTGGATTCCTTGCTCATGATGCTTATGGTCATTATATTTTATTTCCTAAGAGCATGGGAAAAAAAGAAGTAATTTTCTATATGCAAAGTTGTACAGAGGCATGAAGGCATCCCTGTTTATGACAGAATTAATCAGATGTCAACCTTCAAGCATCTCAAATGTGGCGGATAAAACCAGATTTGGGAAAATTAAACATATACAGTCTATACCTTTTAAGACATTATTAGAGAAACTCTTTAAATCGTTTGACCATCCCTCCAACTCTTTAGTTTGAAAGCCTATAGAAAATTTGAAAGAATAGTACAGTGATCACCTGAAAATACGTGCTTTTTAAAGTCCAAGAATGCAAAATAGCGAGGAGTAATTAGGGAGTCTTATTATTGACCTTTTTTTTTTCAGAAAAAAATATTCTATAGAAGTGATAAAAATAATTATTTTAAAGTTTTAATTACATTGACAATATGTGCTTTTTTTTTTTTTTTTTCTAAAGGGACTTTATTATTCCTACTTCAAGACCATTATTGAAGCACCTTCATTTTTGGAAGGACTGTGGATGATTATGAATGACAGGCTTACTGAATATCCTCTTGTAATTAATACAGTAAAACGCTTCCATCTTTATCCAGAGGTGAGTCATCATTTGAGACAAATAATATTTGTAGAGTGATCCTCTTTATCAGATAAAAATAGTCAGCACAATCTTGTTAAAAAGAAAGGGAGGGGAGCTTTCAAGTGAATTAATTTTGTGTATCCTTACAGTTGAGCAGAATATCGTAAGTTCCTCTTGTAAAATTTAAAGACCTCAGAAACTGTTGTCTTATGAACTCAAAGAATGAACCTTAGTGTGTAAATAATGGCCAGGGTAATAGACAAACCAAATGAAAAAGAGAGTCATGGGAGCCAAAAAGGTTCTAAATGGGCTTGGGCTTTTGGCTTTGGACACCTCATAGGTGGGCACGATGACCACGCGAAGGAACAGTGAGAGTGATGAGCTTGAATAGTGATCTTGGAGTTACGTTAGTACGGTAAGATTTCTTTAGTCACACGGCCAGAAATCTATTACTATCTTCCAACACTTAGCCTAAAAGAGTATGGTTGTTATAGTAGTCTGTAAATGCTAGAAATTTGAAAAATGGAGACAAAATTAGTGAACTCAGTTTGTGAATTCAAGATAAATGCTAAATTTGACACCATGGTAAATACTACTGTCGAGTTTAAAGTTGTCTCAGAATCCAGCATATTAATTAAAAGTTACTGATTTCTAGTCCTTTATTCATATTTTTATGGTATTTTAAAATTATTATTCTTTAGATTTTGAAATGCTTAAAACTACAGAGACTTAGAAAATAATATTCAAATGTGTGTGATCAACCATCTAAAATAAATAAATGCTGATCTTTGTCATTTTTGCATCAACTATTTTACAATAATTAAAATATTATAAATACAGTTAAAATCACCTTTGTTCTGCTTCTAGTCCAACATACCTTTATTAAGATTTGGTGTGTGTATCCATCCAATCTCTGTTTTCAGAGATTGTTTTATTATGTGCTTTAAGTTCACATAAATGATCTCACACTGAATGTATCACTGTAGGATTTTTCTTCAAAATTATATTTTTGAACTTTATATATATAATTTCTCTAATTTTAACCATTTTATGAATTCTAAAGTTTATGTATTTCCCCATCTTAATATATTATTTCCAATTTTTCAATTACAAGCAATGTAATCTAAAATGTGCACTTCTGTGTGGTTTTCTTCTGTATATGTGCAGTATTTTGTCTAGGATATATACCTAGAAGTGGACTTGCTGTTATAGAGTGTATGCTTTTTCAGCTTTACCAGATATTGCTAAATTGCTGTCTGAAGCAAATGTAGCAGTTCATACTACTGTCTAGAATTTTCTCATATACTTATTAGATTTTGAATTGTCAGACCCTGTGATTTTTACTCTTATGATGACTGTGATATGCTTTTTGTTTTAATTTGTACTTCCCTTATTATTTATGGGGATAAATATATTTCCATGTTTAATAAGCATTTGGATTTGTTCTTTTATCAACAACATATATAAATCTTTGTCACCAACTCAGCTTTTTTGAGGTATGACTTACATGTAATAAAATGTGCCAATTGTGAGTGTACCATTCTCTGAGTTTTGACAAATGTATGAAGCTATGTATCCATCACCACAATTGAATTACAAAACATTTTCAGAATGCCAAAAAATGCTCCATTATGGTAGCTGTCTTTTCCCCCATTGAATTAATTGTCTCGGTACATTCGTTGAAAATTAATTGACCACATTATGTGTGAATCTGTTTCTGGACTCTATTATTCTCTTGATCTATAATTATGCCAGTACCACACTGTCTTGATTACTGTAGCTTTACAATAAATCTTGAAAGTAGATAGTTCTCTCATTTTGTTTTTCCTTTTTAAAATTGCATTTCTATCTAAATGTTAGGGTCCGCTTATTAATTTCTCAAAAAAAAAAACCTACTGGGATTTTGGTTGGGATTATGTTGGATTTGTACACATATTTGGGAAGAATTGACATCTTAACAATATTGAATTTTCTAATCCATGATCATAGTATAGATCTCCATCTTGTCGATTATTTTTAATTTGTCTCAGCAATGTTTTGTATTTTTTCAATGTATAGTTTTCCCCAGTACTCTTTTATTATAAATGGTATTATTTTACAATTTTTATTTTTCCATTTTTTGTTGCCTTTGTATAGAAATACAGTTGATTTTGAATATTAACTTTGTACCTGCATCTTGATGAAGTCAGCGGTTCTAGTAGCTTGTTTGTAGAATCCTTTGGATTTTTCTATGCACATGATTATATAGTCTGTACTTAAAAGCAGTTTTATTTTCAGTAGGTATACCCTAAGTGTTTTTAAAACAGCTTTATTGAGGTATAATTGACATATGATAGCTGGTCATATAGATGAAGTGTAAAGTTTGATTAGTTTTGGCCCACCTGTAAAACCATCACCAGTCAAGACAATGAGCATATCCCTTATCCCGAAATTTCCCTGTGCTCCTTGGTAATCCCTCCTTCCTTCGTCTCTCTTTGCCCACATCCCATCCCTAGGAAACCACTATTCTTTTTGTCATTATGGTTTAGTTTGCGTTTTCTAGAATTTTATAGAAATAGAATCAGAGTTGTTCTGTACCCAGGTCTTAATTTATGTGGTTGACTTGAGTGATGACACAGACAGATCAGTGCCACTGAAAGAAGAATTTATGATTAATACTTCCATGGAGAAGAGGACAAGTCACATCACACAGAGCCACAGGAGAGATACAGTTTGGTCAGGCAGAAGCAGTACTGAGGGTAAAGCCTAAGTTGGGGTTTTTATTGGGGTTTCTGTGGGAAAGGCAAAATGGGCAAAGTTTAAAAAACAAAATAAATAAACAAAATAGAAAGACAGTTGACAAACTGGGAGAAGATATTTGTTTGGTTTCTTTTTGTTTGTTCTGAGACAGTGTCACTTCATCGCCCAGATTGAAGTGCAGTGGTGTGATTTTGGCTCCCTGCAGCCTCCGCCTCCCAGGTTCAAGCGATTCTCCAGCTTCAGCCTCTGAATAGCTGGGATTACATATGCGTGCCACCACACCTGGCTAATTTTTGTATTTTTAGTAGAAACGGGGTTTCACCATGTTGGCCAGGCTAGTCTCAAACTCCTGGCCTCCAGTGATCCTCCTGCCTTGGCCTCCCAAAGTGCTGGATTACAGGCGTGAGCCACCATGCCCGGCCAGGAGAATATATTTGCAATATACCTCACAGATAAAGGGCTAATACACCTAATATATAAAGAACTCTTAATTCTTTATATATTTAGCTTCTGGAGGCTTCAGGTGTCAGTTTGGTGATGAAGAGAGCTGGAATGATGATATTCTCATTCCTACGACAGGAAAATAGCTGGACAAACTGCAAGATAACACCTTTTCTTGAACCCTTCAGAAAACTGAAGTCAGAGGACAACCAACGCAGAATTTCAAGAAGGACAGGTGCCTGCAGAAAGCAATAGGAACTGAGCATTCTGGGATAGGAACTGCTTGACTGAGATAGATGCTTTTGAATGCCATATAAACTGGTACAAAGATTAAACCAGAAATTTTTTAATGAACTGCTACAGACTTGGTGTGAGCTGGCATGAAATGTGAAGGTGAGCAGGCTCTCTCAGGGAAGACTGGGGAAGTATTTAGAGAAAGCTTTCCTATGATGCTGGCTAGGGGACAGGAAAAGCAATCATTGCTCAGACTCTGCGCACACCCATGTTGTGAAATCTTTCCTAAGGAAAAGAAAGCCATGATCTGCAGGGAGAACGGTATCAAATCCATTGTCTGAGGACACTGGTGGGTATTCAGTGAAGCTGGTGAAAGAGAACAGGCAGGAAAAAAAAAAAAAACCCTAAATGTTAAAAAACAGTCATATTCCTTGAGGAGGGAACACTTATGAAGGGTACAGCCCCAAGTCCCAAATTCACAGTACCTGCCTAAGACTGAGGCTTAATTGGAACATCAGAAAACCTGTCACTCTTCCCCCATTACATGAACAAGCCTTTGGTAAAAATCACAGTGGAATGTGACCAAGTGAGTTTTGCAAGGCCTTTTCTTTCTAGGGAGCAGCACAGAGGAAAACCCAAAACCAAGCTCAAAACAAGGTACCATTAGAGGAATTTGAAATTGCTAGTGTCCATAGCAGCAACAAACTCCAGCTTTGGTAACTATAGCAATTACAAATTTCAAATCCAGCCCACCCTAACTAGATTAACACAAATCCCTACAATAAAGATGTAACAGTAAGAAAGATGTTCTTATTTTCAAGCATAAAAATACTGACCTCTGTGTCTACTGTCTTATACAACATGTCTAACTTCCAGCAAAAATTATGAGGCATACCTAAAGGTAAGAAAAAGCACAATCCAAAGAGACAGAGCAATCATCAACCCAAAGAAGATACAGATACTGGAACAACTGGACAGATTTAAGTTACTATGATTAATATTTTAAAGACCCAAGTGGAAAAGATAGATGATATGCAAGATCAGACAGATAATTTTAGCAGAGAGATGGACACTATAAGAATCAAAGGGAAATGCTAGACATAAAAAAAAAGAAGTAAAAAATGCCTTAGATGGGCTCATCAACAGACATAGAACAGCAGAAGAAATAATCAGTGAGTTTGAAGATAGGTCAATAGGAATGCAAAGAGAAGAAAAAGTGGTGGGAGGAAACGATAGAGCATCTAAGAGCTGTGACACCATATCAACTATTCTAATATATGCATAATTAGAATCCCGGTGGGAGAGGAAAGATGAGGAAGAATAAATATTTGAAAAATAAATGACTGAGAATTTTCCAAAATTAGTAACAGATACCAAACCACAGATCCAAGAAACTCAGAGAACATCAAAAAGGATAAATACCAAACAAATGCATGAATGAATAGATAGATAAACCAAATATGCATATACAAACCTAGGGGTAAATGTAAACACATTAAAGAGTATGAGACAGAGACTATCTCACAAAGCCTAAAATACTTATCATCTGGCTCTTTATAGGAAAAGCTTGCTGACCTCTTATCTAAGAGAATGAATAGACTAGG